TTTTATTATTATTATTTTTTTTTAACTAATAAATAAAAATTTGAAACTCAACGGTCTTTTATCAGCTGTCACAGACAAATAACTATCTAAAACTCTAGCTGGACATGAAGGACTTTAATTATAATAAGTAATGGAGAGTGTTGGTTGAATCCTATTAATTCCAGAGGTTTTGATTTGATTTAAGATAATTATCACAATAGAGTAAAATTTTCTAATATTACAAAGCCTACTCAACGATAGCGTTTGGACACGGTGAGCAGTTATTAGAGCTAGTAATGTGCATATTTTTAGTTAAACATTCAAAAGACAAATTTTAATTTGGATATAAACTGCCTAAATGGTCCAATACTGGAGCTGGATGCGGATGTTCCGTATTTGCCACCTTTATCGAATAAAACAACAAAAAATTCCAAAAATAAATTAACAGATGCAGAAAATGCATTGATATGTTTATCTTGGCAATAATAGAACCATTGTATAAAGTAAGTATTATACTGTTTTAAGGTGTTGTTTGTAAGAGATGCCAGCATCACGTCAATAGTTTCCTTGTCTTAACATGGCCTCCCTGATAAATTGCCTGAATTTCGCGGTATATCACATGTCGATCTTCTTCAATCAGCTTACGCACAGCATCAACGTTTTCTTAGGTGACTGCAGTTTTTGGACGACCTTGACGGGGATCATCACTGAGCTTGACACGTCCACGTTGAAATTCAGGAAACCAGCGATAAATTGTGGTTTTGGATGGGGCTTCATTACCAAATGCAGAAATCATCCGGTCAACACACTGTTTTTGTGTTAAACCACTTCAAAAGTCATAATAAATCATCACTCTTGAATTCTTTCGAGTCAATTCCATTTTCTCAACGACTAAACAAGTTTGACAAGACCTTGTGATACGACCGAGAATCTTTTTTTAAATAAATAAATGGTATACGATTTTTAAAACCCTGGAGTTTGCAATTAAATATATTTTAATATGACTGGAACAGTGGAAATATTCCATTCCCGATACTTTTAGTGCAGCCCTCGTATCTTGGCAATAATAGAACCATTGTATAAAGTAAGTATTATACTGTTTTAAGGTATTGTTTGTAAGAGATGCCAGCATCACGTCAATAGTTTCCCTGTCTTAACATGGCCTCCCTGATAAAAAGGCCGGCAACCAGGTTAAGGCTCCAATGTAAGTTGTGTTCCACACTATAAGGAGATGATAATATGTGTAAGTTTGGAGACAATTCTATGGGCTCGTACACCATCATGCTCTTAAATAGGGGATACCAAGGTTGGGTGGGCCAAAGTGGAACCACCACAATTCCCTTCGCTTTATCGAGAATAATCTTTTGCTAAACCTTGCGTATGCGTAGAAATAAAACCCGGACCAGGATAGATATACAGAATAGGTAAACCTCTGGGTCCCGATGCCATGAGACAAACCTCTGACATTTATTATTAAGGCAACTGGCAAACAGGTCCATATCCGCAAAAGTCCTACAAATGAGTTTATACGCGGAATCCGCAATTTCCCATTTAACATCAGCTTGAATTCGGCGTGATTCGTAGTTTGCAATATAATTGTCACGAGAACTTATCTAAGACGCAAACACAAACAAGCCCCTTTCTTCCCACCACTGCCAAATTTTTCTGCTAATGTTGTTCAGATGAGGGTATTGAATACCTTCCATCCTATTTATATAGACTATGGTTGTGGAGTTATCAACACGCAACAAAACTTCGCAATTTTTGAGACGTTTTGCGAATATTTTTAAAGCGAAGAAAGCAGCAGTGAGTTCTAGTCTAGGTAGTTAATATGATGATTCAAATTCATCGAGAGTCCATTGACCACTAGCTCTTTGATCAGAACAAGGAGCCCCCCAACCGGTACGAGTGGCATCCGAGAAAATTACTATTTTGTAATCACTAACCCGAATAGGACTAGTACATATTGTGTCTATATTACGTAACCACCATTTGAAGTCTTCAGTTAAAGAATCAGGTAAGTAAACAACTTGATCGTAGTCTTCATTCTTCCGTAAGCAAAGGAACTTTGTTCTTTCGAAACTTTTGTTGTACAGCCAACCGTACTGAACTGCTGGATACACAGATACTAGTAAAACTAAGCGATGTGCAAAAGAACGAAGTCTACATCTTTTCAAGCCTTGAAAATGGTTAAGTTCTGCTTTTATCTTCTTTCGTTTATAAACCGGTATATTGATAGTTTGATTAATAGAATTAAATTGAAAACCCAGGAATGTTGCAATTCGACTGGGCGGTCTAACGCTTTTTTTTTTTCATTATTAATAGTAAAACATAGCCGTTCCAACAGGCATTTTGTGGTATTAAGTAAGAATAATAATTATACAGTAAAAGAAGGTTATCTAGTTAAATAACAGATAGTAAGCATCGATACTACGTAGGTACTGCGTGACAGGACGCATCAATTTCGTAAAAATCATCAGATCAGCTCCATGACATCATAATATTGCATTATCATCAAACTTATACGTGCATGCAAAATTTCAGCTCGATTGGAAACCGGGAAGTGGGTCAATTTTAAGTTGCAAGATTTATAGCGAGATGTTAAGACCAAAATTAAATGGAATTACTTGAAAATTTTCCTAACCATTGAAAACGTAGGTACTTTCGGCAAGCTTCGTGGATGTAAATGGAAAAGTACGCGTCTTTGAGGTCGATAGAACACACATGTTCATATTGATGAGCTTCATTTCAATCCCATACTCCTCCAGTTTAAAAAGTGGAGCATGTTATGTATTCAAATTTTTAAGACTCAGTATGAATCTATTTTGGTCATTACTTTTTGGGATAAGAAAAAATACTTGACAGAAACTGACCCAAGCATGGTGTCCATTTGTTAATGGCACCTATTTTAATTAAATTATTAATTTCAGATGACATAATAATATTACGAGCATTTAGCCGATGTTCGTCGTTCTTCGGTATATTGTTTACCTGTGTAATCTCATTTTGAGATTGGTAAACGCAAGCCAGAAAAAACCCACGATAAAACAACAGGATCATAGTAATCTGCGACCAATTATTATAAAAGAATTTCAATCTACCAGCCTGTGAAGGTTTCGGCGCGACACGAAGTCTTGTTGTCGGAGCGAGCATTCCGCTTGTCGCTCGGCCGACGTGTTGTCTGCTGCTGCCTGCGCCCACCAGCCGACGAGCTCTGCCTCGCTGCTGCGCGGCGAGGGGGAGGTGGTGGCGGTGGCGGGCCCCTCCAGTTTAAAGATCACGCAGCTGTTTCGCCCTGTCGCTGATTAGATTTTGAAGCCGGTTTTGGCCTTGAAGTGACAGGTCGTAATTCTGCACCTGCTTTAGAAAATATAGCCTTGATGAACGCATCTTGCAGGCCATCACCAAACAAATGATCATGCTTGGCCTCTTTGATGTTGTCTTTTACATCTTTGTTAAGGCAACCAACAAGAATCTTTTGCGTGTCATTGTTTTCAAATAGTGTATAATATTACAAAGTAAGTGTTACCAAGGGACTGTAATAAGTCATTACTGCAGCTAGAAGATTTCAGATCCGTCAGAACAGATGTCAATATAATATTGGCGATATGAGTTAGTGCAAGACAATACATCTTGCTTCTCGGATATAATGCAATCCCACTTGATAATGCCTTAATTTCAGAATTAAACTTTGGAGCGCGAACTTGTTTCAAGTTATCAGGTGTTTTATGTACTTTCAAGATTTCCTTTTTGGACTCATCTTTAAGTCCATTCATCAGGATCTCAGTTCAGCGGCTAGCGATATCCTTGTGAATGTCAATAACATGGGGCCAAATACATCTTCTTGTTCAGGCGCATCGCCTAATAAGCATAGTACCTCTGGAGCGAATTCTACCGATGTACTTGCCTCTGGATGTAACTCAATTACTTCAGGCTTCCTTGACTCGTTCGTAAAAATAATTTCAGGCAGGGCTTCCGAATAAACAACAGGTTTGTTGCAAAGGAAATGAAGATGTAGGAAGTGGGTAGTTGTAACTGCGTTCAAAAACCCCCTCAATATTGGCAGGTAAAAGGTAAACGATTGACCATACAGACCAATCTGATATACCAACGTATTCCAAAAAATTAATAAAGGTACAATCTCACGGATTGGACTCATTATTAGTATGTGCTCCCTCNCGATTAACCATACAGACCAATCTGAGGTGCGATTGTGTAAAGTTGTTCATGGATGGACAATGAATACAATTGATCATCGATCGTATATCTAAATTCGAATTGTGTAATTTTGTCCATTTCATGAAGACCGAAAAGTGACCGGTCGTATAAAATCGTTTCATGGATTTGCGTTTTATTATTGAAAAACATACGCTAAAACTCATTTTTTTTTAACAAATAATAAATCAAATTCATGTTTAAATGCAGCTTTTTTAATAAAATTTTATGATTACACCATAATAACATATTTTTATTCATAAAAACATTGAATTTGAACTAAAAATTTACCTCTGCAAATCAATAACCAAACGCATAAAACGAATGAAATTCGAGTTTCCACTACCCGTTCCCAGATGGCAGGCTAAGTTGACTACTACTCTACAATAGGTGGCGTTAATGGACTACGTAAAACGACGTAAAATGTTTATTTATTTTTATTGATTTATACTTTAATGGCAAAATTTTAACATAAAGCGAACTTAATATCATATTTAATAAATGATAAAATAAAAAGTGTTTTGAGAAGTGGTATTTTTATCTATGTTCTGTGAATGACAAGTGTTAACTGTCAAGCTTAGATTAAGACGTCAAGTGTCTAAAAAAACTGAAAAAACTTTTGAAACTTTAGATCTCCGACTAATAGCATAAAGTTAATATGAATATTAACTTTATGACTTTTTTTTTTTTTTTNAAGGCAGGTATTTGACCACAATCGCACCTGATGTTAAGTGGGATGCGGTCTAGGATGGTACATATCTGCCCTGTAAGTGCCTATTCACTCTGGCCTTGAAAAGGCCCGGATTATAGTTATATAGTTATCTGTGCTTTAGATTCTAAAGTTTTTTTCACTTCTAAAGTTTAGAAGTGAGTCGTTGTTCAAAAACACCAGTAAGTATAAATGATTACACTACTTTAAGGCATTCTATCAAAAACAAACAACACAAAGTGTAAATTAAATAAAAACAACCCAAGCTTCATTATAACAGTCGTATTATTCCTGTATAAATGGTAATGGTATTCATATTATCAAAAAATAAATTTCATTTTCAGTGCCAAGGGGAAGATTAATATCCCATGCCCAAGTGGAGACCCTACTTAGCCTATTAGAGGCCAACACTGAAATTGCGCGTGGGCGCATGGTGGGGGGTGCCCTGGCCAGTCAACGGGTGGACGAATTCTGGCGCAACACGGCCCGTACTTTGAATAGTATAGGGGATGGGACATCCAAAGAAGCCGCAGCCTGGAAAACGGTAAGACTTATTTTTTACTGATATTGACAAATAACTTATTACACAATAATGACTAAGATTTATCCCAATTTTTCAGTATTGGCACGAGTTAAAATACCGGGCTCGGAAGCGGGACACCGAGGTTCGACAACACGCCCGAGGGACTGGAGGAGGACCAGCCAAGAAACCTCTCACAGTAACTGAGAGCAGAATACTCCAGTTACTAGGAGAGGTTTCTTATGCTGGGAATCCCGAGGTCCAAATACCTTTAAATGTAAGTATAATGCATGCATTTGTTTTAATAGGTATGTGTTGTTGCCACATCCTAGCTAGCAGCTAACATGTTTTTTTTCTTTGTCATTACAGATCCCGTCTTGTTCTGGACCTGTCCCATCTACCGTTGGAACTCGTCCAAATGTAAGTATGATAAACAAAATACATAATTGCAGTATTATTAATATCATTTTGTATTTGTAATATGGATCTCATTTATATTGTATTTCAGTTAAATAATGTTAAGTTGAATAATTATTTGTTATTGTAAATAAACAGTATGATTTATGTTGAATATTATGTATGTATCTATATATATAAAAGAAAGTCGTGTTAGTTACTCCACTTATAACTCAAGAACGGCTGAACCGATTTACCTGAAAATTGTCAGGGAGGTAGTTTAGAGCCAGGAGAAGGACATAGGATACTTTTTATCCCGTTCGAAATAAAAAAAAAGTCTGCTTATTTATTGCCATTAAGGCGGAACAAAGTTCGCCGGGTCAGCTAGTTTGTTATATTAGGTATGTGTTGTTGCCACATCCTAGCTAGCAGCTAACATGTTTTTTTGTTTGTCATTGCAGGTCCCGTCTCTTTCCAGAGCACCTGCACCTGTCCCATCGTGTTACCGTTGTCTGGGTCGGAAGATTCGGTGCCGGTTGGACCGAGGCGGGGTCGAACCTCCCAAATCAGAAACACTCGACCTTGTGAGTTCTAATAATAATACTACACATACTTACAAATAGGCCACGTAAAAAGTATTGCTGTCTCCAATTAGATTTGTAGAAATACATTAAACTTACAAGGACCTAAGTATCCCTTAACCCTGCAAGCACTGTACCCCTAAAGGGGTGGCAAACAATAGGTTTTCTATTGAGTCTGGTTTTATGGTGCTTGCTAGATAAAGTCAAACCTACATTGAAGAACTATAAATAAAAAAATTGTTTCAGACCGCAGGCGACGGTACGATGACCCCCCAGAGTGGGCTCGTCGATACGAAGAGCAGCGCCTTCGTATCGACAGAAGTCGAGCCCACTCCCTTGAGCGCCTGGTAGAGATCGCGGAACAAGTTCTGGCGCTCTACCGAAGGAGTGTGGAGGGGAATGGGCCATAGCAATATTTCTATAATTATTATTACGGACTGACTTTTTCATAGTTATTTTAATATTAATATATCTTATTGATTGTTCCAAAAAAACTAAGTCTAAATTAGTAGGCTAAGAATGCTGTGATCATATATTTTATAGTAGTAGGCTAAGAATGCTGTGATTATATATTTTAAATCTGTGATTATACAGTGTGTCCGGGCATGTAGTGATCAAACTTTAAGGGCGTAATCTATGGACAATTTTATCGATGAAAATACTTCAAATTTGGGGCTTGACCCATTTCTCGCAAAATTACGAGGATTTAAGTTTTGAATTTTAAGTTTTCACCTCTTCCTTCAAAAACAAGTGATAGCGTGGGTAGCTTAACATTAATAAGCAAAAATATTATATCATGCAATAGCCAATAAAATTATCTATTAGCAGAAGTAGAAAACAGATACAAGTTTCATACATTTTTAGGGAGTAAGAATGGATTTAATTAGAAAAAAACGTGACTTTTTTCACTTCTTTTTCAGTTATTTTCCAACACAAGAAAAACCAGGTCGTTAAGGTATGTTTTATTTGCATTGTATTATTAGTATTTGAGCTATTCTACAAAACGAATGTAAATTTATTAGTCTACGTCTATTAGTTTCGACGTAATTGTTGAACAAAGATACCCATTCCCAGCGGTTTCCATAGTAATCGGAATAGGTTGTGTGATTCTTTCAGGCAGTGCATTTTCGCATGTCGCGTGCGCTATGGAAACCGCTGGGAAGGGGTATCTTTGTTCAACAATTACGTCGATACTAATAGACGTAGACTAATAAATTTACATTTGTTTTGTAGAATAGCTCAAATACTAATAGTACAATGCAAATAAAACATACCTTAATGACCTGGTTTTTCTTGTGTTGGAAAATAACTGAAAAAGAAGTGAAAAAAGTCACGTTTTTTTCTAATTAAATCCATTCTTACTCCCTTAAAATGTATAAAACTTGTATCTGTTTTCTACTTCTACTAATAGATAATTTTATTGGCTATCGCATGATATAAAATTTTTGCTTATTAGTGTTAAGATACCCATGTTTTCACTTGTTTTTGAAGGAAGAGGTGAAAACTAAAAATTAAAAACTTAAATCCTCGTAATTTTGCGAGAAATGGGTCAAGCCCCAAAATTGAAGTATTTTCATCGATAAAATTGTCCATAGATTACGCCCTTAAAGTTTGATCACTACAAGCTCGGACACACTGTATATTTTAAATAAAAACTTAGTTTGTAAAGAGATGAAGGCTGACTTTAAAAGAAGTATAGTGTACAAATGAGTAGGGAGGCTGTGGATTTTGCCATGGTTATTTTAATATATCTTGTTGATTGTTCCAAAAAAACTAAGTTTAAATTAGTAGGCTAAGAATGCTGTGATTATATATTTTATAGTAATAGGCTAAGAATGCTGTGATTATATATTTTAAATAAAAACTTAGTTTGTAAAGAGATGAAGGCTGACTATAAAAGAAGTATAGTGTACAAATGAGTAGGGAGGCTGTGGATTTTGCCATGGTTATTTTAATATATCTTGTTGATTGTTCCAAAAAAACTAAGTCCAAATAAGTAGGCTAAGAATGCTGTGATTATATTATTATATTTTAAATGAAAACTTACTTTTGTAAGTTGAAGGCTGACCCTAAAAAAAGTATAGCTGACTAAAGGATTTTAATAAAAAGATGTGTATATTTAAACAGTTTTATTAATTTAAGTCATTTTTTTCTGTAAATAGGCCCAGGGGCCACTTTTACATGTCCCAACATAACTACCCTACCACTGCTTTAGGACTATTGTAAATTAGTGTTGAGAAGAAGCAGCGTTTATAGGCGTTATCGAGCGCTTAAAATCAAAATTATCTTTATTTGTTTAGACTAATTAAATTAGTACTTACAAATCGTCAAATGCTCTTAAGGAGCCTATACATGTCTCATTCTTTTTTGCCCTACCAGCGCTTCGAGACAAACATTAGGGAAGTGCTGAGAAGAAGCGCCGCAACAAACTCAGTCACCACGGTTTAATAATATAAAAAAGTAGGAAGTTACAATACATTCAGATGCAAGTTACTTACCACGCGTTCCTGTTGATAGAAGGTGGCCTTAAGACTCCCATCTAGCATAAGACCGCGTGGCAGTTTTAAATATATTTCTTTAGTGCCGTGCTAATTTAGGAGACAAGGCAAGAAAACTCTAGAGAGCAAAGCAAAGCTTATCTGTGGTTCTGCCGGTCCCTCCACAACCTTTCCACCAACCCTCGTCGTGAAGTGACCCCATCACCAACATGGACTGGCTGCGCTGGTTGTCTTCTGCCGTCCCTTCTTATGTCATACCCGTCCAGTGTGGGAACTTCAATGCGTGCACGATTGCACATGTTGTGCAATACAATACACGCATTGACAATTTTCCCAGCTTTCACTGGATCGTAGTGGAGGGTTCGGTGCGCTAGAAGACAGCGCCACCTAGCCTTCAGTACACCAATGCACCGCTCCACAGTATTGCGGGTACTACAGTGCAGATCCGTGTAATGTGCTTCTGGGGAATCCGGAGCTGCTTGTAGAATGGGTGTCATCAGCCACTCCCGCTGGGCGTATCCAGAATCCCCTTTAAGGTAAAAATAAGTTACTTAGGTATGCTGCACGATAAAGGCTTAAAACATAAAAGGTGAAATATTATTCGATGTATTACCTAATAGCCAGCACACTTCACCGGCTTCAGCCAGACTTCGCATGTGAGCCTCCAAAGCGCTCCTATTCCACACATGCGAGTCATGGCTGGCACCTCCATAAGAGGCATCCACATGAAGAACATTAAGTTCTGCATCACATATCTAGAACATTATAAAATTTAAAAACCTATAAATAACCCATCTCATTTTTCTACAATAAATAAATGTCAGAAGTGCCACAGCAAACTAAGGTAGATACTAATAAAAACTTACAATCATAGCATTTAGTGAGTGGTAATGCTTCCTATTGAAGAAAGCCTCCTCAAAATCATGGGGCCGTATGATGGCAATGTGTGTGCCATCAATACAGCCCACAACACCAGGGAAGCCAAAGACATCCATGAATCTGCAAAAAAAATTGGATTATATCCCTTTCTATTCTTGAGCCATAATAACAGCTTGAAATGGGTACCTACCCTCTCATAACCGCCATTCTCTCCTCACGGTTACCAGGGAAGGCGATGTGCCGTTGGAGAATTTCTGGTTTATTTAGGGCTTCTGTGACTTCAGCCACACACTTGTGGACAGCAGTCTGGCAGAGCCCTAAATTAAAGTCTTTCCCAACCCGCCTCTGGTAGCTGCCCCCGGCGTAAAAGTCTAAGGCAGCCATGATCTATAATATTAAAAGTAACATTTAAAAAACGGACGGATTCGCTTTAAGTACTCACATTTGCAAAAGAAGGTACTTACTTTAAGCTCTGCAGAGATCCCTGTTGATCTACGCCTTTGGGGCATGAACGGCGCGAGTTCATCAACAAGCTGTTGGAATAATGGCAACGACAGCCTGTAATTGCTGATGAACTCGACATCCGGCATGTCCCAGGGCATCGATGCTCTCCGCAGCGCTTTTCTCCTCATCTGAGAGCGTCTCATGCGACGCTCGCGTTCTATCATGCCCATCATATAGGCGTGCGCCATTGTAGGTCTAAAAAACACTCGGATTATCAATCAATTGTGCCGAAAAAGAACTGTTGTGATTCACTAAATTTTATTTCCATTAACATAAGACACTTACAGCTTAACACACTTTATCTTTCAAAGAAACTATCAAAATTTTCGTACGAGGACGAGAATAAAATTCACAGAGAGAGAGTTATCTTCAACACTTCCATGAGAATTTAAACCAATTTAGACGATTGTCATGAGTTACGAGTCACCGCAATCATTTGACATTAGCAATGGGCTCATGAAACTTAGACAATTCGAATTTTCTGTCAAAATCATATTCATCATTCACTCATCGTATAAAATTACGATCAAATCGTTATCAAATCGTTATCGTTTTATGAACTCCTTACACAATTAGAATTAGCCGTTTGACACATCATAACGTACGTTATGAACTGTCAAATGAATACGATTGCCTTAGACAATCGCACCACTGATATACCAACGTATTCCAAAAAAAATAATAAAGGTACAATCTCACGGATTGGACTCATTATTAGTATGTGCTCCCTCTATACAGCGATCTACCTTACAGATAGAACTGAAGTATACTATGGGTAGATATATCCTTACAGAATATATTCATTGCACTATTTAAAAATAGAACACCGGAGAAATGCGCTCAAGAAAGTAGGTCAAGGTCACGGGGACGACGTGCGTACGTGACCGAGCGCGAAAATAATCATAACACTGCATTTTAGCACTAAATATAAATCCAAATTAATACCTCCAATATTTGAAGCCTCCAGCAACACTGAATGGTCATCCAACTCAGGAATTTGGTATTAATTCCGAGAATGAGGAATTTTCACTTGAACTGTAAGATGATTTACGTCGTCTACGGCGCACTTTGGCCATTTTCCTTTCAAGTTTTCTTATTTTATAAGCCAAATGATCTTCTTCACTGTCGTGGTGACGTCTTTTACCCATATTTATCACTTTTATTCAAAGATTCAAATAAACGAATAAAATACGTGTGCGATGGCGGCGACACAAAACGTGTATATGAAGGCCAGCGCAGGAGCGGGGTTCGCAGGCAGTTTTTTGTTTTAGTTTACTTTGAACGTGTGTAGATGGCAGCACCAACTCGTGCTACTACAAGTAAATATAATGTAATTTCGAAGGGCGAATCACAGAGTTTAATGGTTCCGAAAGTTGGAGTACTTACCTACTCGATCGGTGAGAGACCCGGGGCAACTCCCAACAAGGTTATCCGAAGATTCGAATACTTCCATCCCTCTCACGCAAAGCGAAGTGCCTGCGTGAGCGACAGTGAGAGACCCGAAAGTTCGTGAATGACGTTTGGGAGTAGCCCTGTTTTGGGTAGTGCTGGCGGAAATTGATAACGACAAATCGATAGTGTTCAATCAGGATAATCGGTACAAAATAAGAGCAGGCAAGGAGAATTTATTTATGTTAATTATTTAAACTAACGGGTTTAGCCTCTTCCAAATATTACTCTTCCAAATATTCTGGCTTATTAACATCGCGTGTTCATACTACAGTGATATTAATTACTAGAATTAATAAAAATAAATCTTTGTTTTTAATGAACCACCTTTTTTTGTTTTCAATTAGGTATTAGGTAGGTATAAAATTTCGATTAGGTACTTGATACTACTCGATATTACAGAGTCGTAATAATTATGACATTCGATTCCTTATTTGGTACGGCTATGGTTGTACAATGTACATCCCTAAGATAGGTAATTTAATTTTCGACACGCAATCGATTACCCCACAACCACAACACTAGTTTTGCGGTCACTGACAGTATTCGGTGGTCGTACCTGGTTATTTTCGTCGATAAGTTAAAGTGGGCCGATTAACTACGTAGTTAGAGTTATGGGGAACATACGAAAGTTGCCCTTTAGGGTGAAACGTGAAATCCTGCTAAGATGATATCGACTTTACTAAGTAATTTTGGTATTTTAAAAATCAGCATTATTTTTAAAGTAAGCAGCATATTTCATAATCAGCATATCATATCTAACTGCCTCTGTGGTCTAATGATATTTATCACTTTTTATCAGGCAAGATACAGGCAAGCTTCCTTATTGTGGATAAAAGAAATCTTTTAATATTACGCTTGTAGACATTTTTATGCTTCGGAAAGTTCTTTGGGAGACTACTTACGATCTTTGATTTTTATCAGATCTGATTGTACTCAATAGATAGTTCAAGCTGCATGTCACGTCTCTACATATACCTAGTACCTACCATTAAAAATTACACGAGGTGGACCACCCACAAGGTGGACCGACGCGCACGGTGGGCTGATATTAGAGCTTCATAGACTTAGCGTCGCTCAAAAATCAAGTGCCGAATTTTGAAAAAATAAATATGCCAATGTGTTCCTTTACCAAAAAGGAATATTTTATGTTATGTAACGTTTCTTGATAAAGTTATTATTTAATAAGTTATNTATGAAGGCCAGCGCAGGAGCGGGGTTCGCAGGCAGTTTTTTGTTTTAGTTTACTTTGAACGTGTGTAGATGGCAGCACCAACTCGTGCTACTACAAGTAAATATAATGTAATTTCGAAGGGCGAATCACAGAGTTTAATAAATATTATACTAATATAACTTACCTAAAATCTGTTAATGTTTACCTAGCACCTCCGTAGACTAAATGAATCTGAACACTCGGTTTGAAATCGTGAGACTCAATTCAAATTAATTAATGCCAATGGAATATTATCGACGGTAATTTTTTTACGGATATGAAAGCATCTAATGCATGATTTTTATAGGACAAAGAACCATCATAAGTTTGTACCTAAGTAAAATGGTAGTTAATAATGAAGATCTGAACTAAAATATGTTCCAATTCGATGAGTAGTTATTTATAGACGAGACATTGTTATTGCAAATCGAGATTACTCACAGAATATAAGTCACTCCTGTAGGTATAATGGCCGAAAGAAGTCGACTGAAAAACTCGGCGCTTGGCCGTACTACGGCGCGTGGAGCGGCGGGACTATTCTGGAGGAAGCTTTTGAACTTTTGACTCAATTTTAGAATTGTGTTATTAGTGTTATTGATTCAAATTACTAGATACTATCCCTTTCAGATAAGTATCAAATACTACCCACCTACTACCCACACACACAAACACACTCACACACATAATCACCAACATAAACTTCAAAAATTCTTTAGTATTAATTATTTAGCTAATAGTTACAAGTAATCAGTAGGTATGTAATATAATTAAGATTTTATGCAGAGCCCATAGTAGTATTAGAGGTGGAGGGTTGGCAACCTGAGATACAGGATCTTTCCTAGTTCAGGTGTCAACCCGCCATAATCGGTAAAATGTTCCTTTTAATCAGTCATGTACCTTATTTGTAAGATTATGGTGAGAATAAAGATATTTTTTTTTACTTATTTTATATGTGCGAAACGTAGACGGTTTAGTACTACTAAACCGTTACCGTGACCTAAACGGGGGCAGAGGTCGGATTTAGTCATAGTCATAAATGTTTATTGCATCGTGTTGGTATATTTGGATCTTAAATAATAATACAGAGTCCCGAAACATGGCCCTGTAAGGGCATTGCAATATGTACTTATGCTTAATTACTTGACAAAAGTTCAGGACTTCGTTAGCAACTTAAAAACTTTAGTGGATAAGACAAGAAACACACACAAAGTGAAAATTATAATAGGAAAGTTGAAAACTTTTATTTTGTGGTAAAATTCTCTTTTCTCTATTTTTCCGTAGTACAGGCCTCAAAGTTAACACATGACTAAGCTTACAGGAGCTTTCAGCATAACCACCACCATTTCTTGTGGATATCTATTACCTGGCTCTTCTTAATAGAAACCTCACCAATTTCAATTAGCATAATAAAAGCTCTATCTTTCTACAAAACAGAAGCTCCCGACAAAATTTTCATGAAAAATTTAGCATCGCATCTCCCTCGCACCAACATCGCGAGTGCTCCAGAATCCGGCGCGCGCCCCGCCGGTATAAAGCGTGGCGCCCGCCGCCGGCGGCACAGTCCGGCCCGGTGCGTTGCCTCGCGAACCGCCACGCCTATCCTCTTCAACTACCCTACGTCTACGACACAAACTTCACCATGGTAAGTCAGACTTACTAGCTTCAAAGTTTTGGCAAAGCTTTTGGTGAAAAGTAAAAAATTAGGTCCCTCGTCCAAGACTAACTTCAAAGTTTTGGCAAAGCTTTTGGTGAAAAAAATAGAATTAGGTCCCTCGTCCAATAAAAGTTTGTGAAATATAGTTTTGTTATGATGACATTTTCTTTCTTAGTTTAGGAAAATTTAAAGAATATATTTTTAGAAAACACGAGTTAATAATATTAAATATTCAAATAGGTACATTAAAAATATAAAAATGAATCGCAAAGTGTGTTGGTAATTTGGCCAATTTTCCCAATTCTTCTTTTTTTAATGTTCGTTGAAGTCCAAGAAAACATTTGCTACTAGTTAATTTAAAAAAAATATTGCTACAATATTCTCCTTTTCAGTTTTCGTAATAAAAATACTAACTACATAATTTGTAGATGCCTTAGAATAGTGATTAAAATTATAATTTGCTTCAACAAATAAACTTAAATAAGACCACTTTATGTGCCTGAAATTAATCAAATAAAGAAATCTTGATTTAATTTGATTTGAATAATGAGAATGGCAAAAGCTCAAATTTATTTGTCTCAAGCTGAAACTTCATGAATTATGGGCTGCGTTTCGCAGTCAGTCTGCTGTAATGCGGCTGAGTCACGCGTGCGGATAATAATTTTAAGTTGTCGGTCGAACTAAATTGCTCTTTCTGGGGTTTCCACGAAAACGGGCTTTTCAGGCTTTCAATAAAAGTTTTCAGTTACTTGGCTACGAAAAACTTTCAATGATAAATTAAAGTTGATATAACTTAAGTAATAACCCAAATTCTAGTAGGTCATACGGTCTATCATTTTCTGGCTGTTGGCTATCATATCTTAAGAATGTTTGTAACTTTCACGTCCAAAGTTTGGACCCTAAACAAAAATAGCACCGACAGACATACCATAAACGTTTTATATGGTGCAAAATAATTATAATATTACATTATTTGCGGTTTTATCAAAATAAAAGTCACCGTCAAACTATTTTTTACAAATCCATATTTCAGAAAACGTCGATAATTTAATTTAATTCATTTATATGTCTTGTAGAGCTTATTTTCCTTCTTCTGAAAAACAATGAAGTGCATGAAGCTTCTGCACGTTTTCCTACGTTAGCAGGTACGAAAGCTTTTAAACTTTGTAAATTTCAAAGCTCTTTTTCTTGAATACCTACTCGATTTTATCGACAACCGGTTGGGTTCCCATGTCAATTACCTATTTGTCCCACTGCAATCATTTTATCTAGCATCAGTAGTTAATCGATTGTATCGATACACACAAACGTTTTATAAATTGGATAATTGTATCAGAAATAATGACAGAATCGATTTTACTAGACAACTTTAATTTTCAATGTCCTTCAGTTCGAAGTTCAGTCGTCTAGACTAAAAAACAAAGGAACATGTTTATAAACATAGCAAAATGATACGCTGTAATAAATGTAGGAGTGATACATGTTCATAGTGCACCTCCTTTACGTCCATTAATGTGCAGAAACTTAAAACATAGTAGGTATATGTTACTACAACTAAGTAAACATTCTATACATGGTTTAATTCTGAGATTATGATTCTGTAGGTAGAGTATGCAGAACCTACGTTAAAAATCTTTTTGAACTCTAGTACTAACTGCGACTAACTTTTGAGTCGAAATTCAAACTCAGAGCTTTATTAGAGTCGTAAATGATGACGCATTATAAGTGTCTTCTTATTGCTAGACTGTTTGAATAACATTATAACGAGGTAGGCTAGTCAAGCGTGACCACCGGTTGGCTCGGCAACCAGACGAGACGGCTCCTCGGTCACCAGCCTTGCCTATCCACGACTATCATCTCTAGATAGCAGTTATAGTTCGCTTATTATGAATTTTAACTTATTTAGTTTAAACTATTTATTCATTTTATTTAAGGCAGAGAACAAACAATTAACACAATCATAATACATAATCATTCATGGGTATTACAGGATGTCACATACAAAATAACTAATTGTTTCTTCAAATCACCTTAGTACCAAAAGTAATAAGTTTAGCGACTGCAGAAGGATTAATATGTAATTTAACGTTAGCTAAAATATTTCTCAAAACTCAATAATTTATGGTACGTGTTACAATATAAATGAGTGTTATGGACCCTGCTGAATATGAGAAATTATTTTATGTCTGTCTACTGCTGTTTTTAACAGCTTTAAATAGATTTTTTTCTACAGATGTAGAGTTTACTATGAGTGATAAGCGACTCGCGTTCACTTTTACGAAAAAACACTTAACCAATAAAGTACAGTGTTTATAGCCATTCTGCGAAGTATTTGCATGCATCGCTATGGGAAAGTGCTGTAATTATGTATCGCGCTAATAAGCTCATGCGTCGCGCGCGCATCCATTTAAATACAATGCTACGATCCAATCGTTGGTCAGAGCACGACTTATTGTTGTCTACTGAAGTATACAATTGTTTGTTGTATTTTTTATATATTTTTTTTATGCTAGACAAGGCAGGTATTTGACCGCAATCGCACCTGGTGTTAAGTGAGATGCAATCTAGGATGAGACGATGAGATGAGATGAATATAATATAATATACAGGATGTTAGGTAAATGGGTATATGAGCCGACACTAGCCCATGTTAACATAGGCATATAAATGGTATGGTGAAGTCAGAAATTTGATATCCTGATTTTATTTTTTTAAATTTTCATACAAAATATAAAATCCGATTTGTATGAAAATTAAAATAATTAAAATGAAGATATCAATTTTCTGACTTCACCATACCATTTATATGACCATGTTAACATGGGGTAGTGTCGGCTCATATACCCATTTACCTAACACCCTGTATATAATATGATGATGAGATGTATAGACAAATACTTGTAAAAAATACATGTGGTTGAAATCACTGAAAAATACACAAAGCTTTTCTAAAAAGGTAGAGCTTGAAAGTATAAGGTGTATTGTTTATGTTAAGTACATATCCGTTTTCGGAAATTCTAGTCGGAATTCTAGTCTAGTCATACAATGGATTTTTGTAACAAAATCTGAGAACTATGCAAAATAATTTAAATAACTGAATTTTATTCCACTCACCGAGAAATCATGGTCGCCGATCTCTTGCACCTGTGAAAAAGATAAAAGTAACATTTTAAATTCTACCATCTTCAATTCAAATAAAAACTTAGTTTGTCGTTTAATACTATGCGAACGTAAATAAAATATCATATTATTATCGCCCTGCTACCTTGCAGACAAACTTTTGGAAGAAGAAATAAGTAAACTTATTATAGACAGATAATTTTACAGCCTGTATTAGTTTGCTTTAACTATAAAAATGCCACAAAAATAGGCCACTATGCCATGTAGCACTGTCGCATGAACTTGTCAAACAAATCCATTAATGTTCTTAACCTATTTTCTTCGTGAAAATATTTTTCTTGGCTGAAAACCTATATAGCTAAAGTTCGCGTGCTGCCTACGACCGCATCCACCATGCTTGGTTGAAGGTCGACTTTGGAAATGACAAAAATTTCTCATTATTAAAGACTTTATTTACTGGTAATACATTGTAATAACTGTAATATGCTACCTACTGTAACTAGTATTGGAAAATATCGGACAGAAAAGCTAATATTGTGTGCTTTTCTTACACGATTTATTTAAAAAGATTTTTTCATCCCAACTAATATTATAAATGCGAAAGTAACTCTGTCTGTCTGTTACGCTTTCCCGCTTAAACCTCGCAACCGATTTTGATGAAATTTGGCATAGAGATAGTTTGAGTCCCGGGAAAGAACATAGGATAGTTTTTATCCCGGTTTTTGAAACAGGGACGCGCGCGATAAAGTTTTTCTGTGACAGACAAAATTCCACGCGGGCGAAGCCGCGGGCGGAAAGCTAGTGAAGATATATGCATGTACGAGTACCTATTAATAGGAAACATGCATACGTCATACGTATTGGAAATTGTCACAAAGAAAAGCTATGAGGGATGTGATTCTTTACACGATTAATATGAAAGTTTTTTTCACCAAAATTTGCAACTCTCTATTTAGAAAATAAGGCAATATGATTTTATCAGTAAACTGTAGATATAGCATGATCTGCAGCAATTAATTCGAAGTACCAAAACGCTGTGTCATTGTTATCTACCTGATACCAATCTGCAACTAATGAGGGATAAAAACTGTAAACCAGTTTTATTAGCTCGTTGAACTGATAACCAGATTTTATCATGTTGGCTACTGCACAGCTTTTCTCTACAGGATGACAGGGACAGGGATACCGACCGGTCGGTCGCGAGTCACGACCTATTCCTTGAAAGGGGTTATATTAGAGGTCATTAGTAACAAATTAATTTTAATTAACCAGGGGAACCAGGGGACAAAACTGGATGGTTATCGAGTTGTGACGGTTCTAAAAGCTGAATTTGGGACTACTTAAAAAAATGTACTTGGCCAAAACTCACATAATCTCAATTTTTTTTTAATTTTCACTGGACTAATTTGTTGCTAATGATCTCTAATTCTCTAATATGTTGCCTCCTTTCAAATAATAAGTCGAGCATCCCTGTCACCCTGTATAAACAATACAGTATTGATAAGTTTGTCTGACCACATTGAGCAACCACCGTGACAGGTCGTGTCAAACTTCCCATTATCAGGTGATAGCCCATGTCATCTTATCTGGACATTGCGTTATTGCTAGAGGGGAGACATTTTGAGGACACAGGGATAAGGGAATTAATTAACTACATATAATAAAAGGATTTCGCTTATTTAGTCACGAAATATTTTTGGATAAGATAACCGATTGAAAATATTATTTTTATAAAAGCTTCAAGGTAGTTATTTTTCTTTTATCCTGTAAATACAGTTTCCGATAGATCTGCGACGGTCTATAAAAAGCTTAATGGCTGCCAAATTATAATGCATTTTAAGAGTATTTTTGTAAAAATATTAAGTAGT